GAGCCTGGCAAGCTACCAGTGGCATACTCGATATTCCAAAAACAGTAACATTGATGGTCCTCATTCTCCTGATCCTGAAAGGGCCCCCAATATGCCATCGGGCTACACTAGCACGTGACAGGGACGAATGGAGACGTTACTGGTGCCCGCTTGAGCAAATCAATGAATAATGGGGTGATATTTTTCGTCATAGTGATCCCACAGGATTCTATTAGCAATAAAGAGGAACAAGAAGCTAGAAGACAAAGCAACATGAATGAATCTCAAAAAATATTATACTGGAAGAGTTTGAATACAAATTCTATACTGTATGATTCAATTTTTATAAAATTCTAGAAAATGAATAGTTTTAGTAAGTAAAAAGCAGGTTGTTGGGTCCAGGAATTTTGAGAGGAAAAAAAGCAAATGCAAAGGGCATATGGGAACTTTTTTGAGTGAGTTAATTGCTCTCATCTCTCTTGTAGTAGTTGCACAATTATATACCACAACTATCAACTGTACACTTAGAATTGGTGAATTTTATTATTGTAAATAATACCATAGTAAGCAAAAATGAAAAATAAGTTTATACCACCTATTTATAAGATCTTCCTTTAATTTTTTCTTCTGGAAGCAATTTTTCATTTTTTATGACTCTATTTGAAGGTCATGAAGTGCTGTTTGTTATATTCATTTTTCAGAAGTCTTTATTTGTAGATAATTAAATACTAGTTATTATTTATATATTTCAACTTTCCTAAGCAAATTTCCTTAAAGTCAAGGACCATTTCTAATTTTATCTTGGCTTTCCCAAAGTCTGATTTTTTTTGTTTTAAAAATCTTGACATTTATTTACTTTTTCCAAAAACAGAGTTTAAGACCCTTAAACTGTCCCGGGTTTTACCTCCAGCACCACATATTGGCCCCCTGGTTCCCCCCAGGAGTAATCCTTGAGTACTGCCAAGTATCCCCCACCAAAGGGATACAATAGTTGATAGAGCATCAGTGTATTTAATGATAAATTCTGGTTAACTGAATTTGAGTCTTTCCTGAATTCATATGCACTGCTTTGAAAGTACATTGATCATAGAAATTGTAATCATTCAAAATCTCTTTTATTCAACAAAAGATTTTCGACCACCACTTAAGATTCTACGTTTATATGTTCCTTTAAAAAGTTTCTCATTGTGGAGTCAAAAAATCTGGCACTGGGGTTAAAGTGCAGGCCTTGCATGCAAATGACACTGTGTCTCCCAAGCATCATTGGGTGCAGCCCTGGAGGTCCTTGAGGCCTGCAAGCACCACTAAGTGGCCTAGGTAATCCCTAGCACTGAAGGGTCCAAGAAGCACAGGCCTCCCACTGATTCTCAGAGGCTCCAGGGACCATTCCCAGCAGTTCTCAGCCTGGCCATGCAAGCCTGATAATTCAGTACGAGGACTCAGCAATGTGCTACTTAGCCCCAGTGTGGATACTAGGGCCCACCTGGTGTTGCTTGAGGTCAACAAGGCTACATCCTGCAGTGCGCTGTGGCCACCAGGCTGTACCTGATAGTATTTAGAAGGTATCAGTGCTGGGAATTGAACTCAGAGCCTTGAACTTGCTATGCATCCGCTCCAGACCTTTGCACTGTCTCCCCAGTCCCCAATGACCTTTTCATAGGACTTCTGGGATAGCATTGTCCTTGTTTGTTGTTTGCAGGTGATGTGCATACTGGAAATATAGGTTTAGGCATGGGAACAAAAAGCAAAAATGTTCTGTTTGGCTTATGTCATATATTACAGCCAAGCTGACCTTTGTAACAAACTAAATTTAGTTTTTTTAAAAAAAGCTATTTTTAATTTAATTCTCTCATGAGTCTCAGATGTCACTATCCTACATTATTGAATTTGAGGGATATTTGTACACATTAAGTAACAAAATTGTATGAATAGCAGAATCGAAATATATTTTTAAAATTAGGAGCCTGGTTTATCTTTTTTGTTCAAAACTAAGGCAATTCTAATTCCCCATGGAAAATACATGAAGACAAGGCATGCTTTAAATTTCTCAAGAGGAACTTTAATACAAAAATGCTTGAACCAGTAGTCATTTAAGATGCACAGTTATCCAATAAATACTCGATAGAGATAATTGAATTCAAGACTTTATAGGGTAGAAGTGATGCAAAGAGGCTCTAAGAAACTGAGAAGCCTGGAGCTAAAGTCCCATCTCAGGCCTCCTAATACTTCTAATGGTCTAACATTGGAGATTCACTCTCCTTAAGCTTTGTTTATTCAGCTGTGAACAATGGAAATAAAAATGCTCTCTAAATATGTTTATTTTAAAAATTCCTTAGTTACGCATTTTTAATCCTGACATATCTATTTTTCTACCAGTCCTTCATTTCTTTTAATTAGATTCCTGGTCCTTCCTTTGTCTCTTCCCTCCTTCCGTTCTTTTGTCCCTCCCTTCCTTTCTTCTTTTCTTTGTTGTCTCACCCAGCTATACTTTTGGTCTGTGCTCAAGGACCACTCCTGGTGAATCTCAGGAGTTAACATGAGGCTCCATGTGTTGAACCCAGGTTGGCCACGTGTAAGGCAAGTGCCTTACCCACTATTTTATCTCTCTGGTCCCTCCTGGCATACCTTTATACACAATGATTATTAGTTCCTTTCCACATATTGACCATAAGAAAAGATGGGGTAAAAGGAACATGGTATATAATGCCAGTCACTTGATCACTTGATTTCCCGTTAATCGTCGATTTGCTTGAGCGGGCGCCAGTAACGTCTCCATTTGTCCCTGTCGCGTGCTAGTGTAACCCAATGGCGTCTGTTCGCTCGAGGAACACGAAGAGCCTCAAACCGATCGTTCATGATCTTGATGAAGAAGTCTGACCATCTGGTAGGTGGGCGGCCACGCGGTCTTTTGACATCCCGTGGAATCCAGTCGGTAACAGCTCTAGTCCAGCAGTCGTCTTTAAATCTCATTACATGACCAGCCCATCTGATTTTCGACGCCTTGGCAAACGAGACAGCGTCCCTGATTCTTGATCGTCGATGGAGGTCGGAACTCCGGATTCTTTCTCTCATTTGAGTGAAACGTGATATTCCAAGCATAGCTCTTTCTATTCTTCTTTGGGAGACCTGAATAGCGTTCTCATCCTGTTTGCGTAGGGCCCAGGTCTCTGAGGCATATGTTAATGCAGGAAGAACAGTGGAATCAAAGAGATGTGCCCGGAGCCGGAGGTTCTTCGTCCTCTTAGCTATTTCTTCGACGTTCTTGAAGGCATTCCAAGCCGCTCTCTTCCTCCTGCGCAGCTCGGGTGCCAGGTCATTTGTCATGTTGACTTCTTGACCTAGGTACACATAGCTATTACACTCGGAGATGGTCGTTCCGTTGAGAGCGAATGGGGCGTCAGGAACGAGGCTGTTTCTCATAAACATTGTCTTCGTAAGATTCAGCTGTAGTCCGACCTTTCCACACTCACGGTCGAAATCGGCCAGCATTTGTGCCGCTTGGCTGATGTTTGGTGTTATTAGAACAATGTCATCAGCAAAGCGGAGGTGGTGTAGTTGCCGACCATCTATCTTCACTCCCATTCCTTCCCATTCCAGTCGTCGCATGATGTTCTCGAGGGTGGCACTGAAGAGTTTCGGTGAAATGGTATCACCCTGCCGAACCCCTCTCTTGATATGGATGATTACTTCTTTGTAGAATGGTGAGATCTTGGTAGTGAATCCGCAATAGAGCTCACGAAGGATCCTGATGTATTGAGTTTGTACGCCTTGATTGGCTAGGGCTTCCATGACCGCTTCCGTCTCAACAGAATCAAAGGCCTTCTTTAAATCAATGAACGTTAGACAGAGCGGCATCTTGAACTCCCGAGATACCTCAATGAGCTTGGTTATTGTGTGGATATGGTCGATGGTACTGAATCCTTTTCGGAATCCAGCTTGTTCACATGGTTGTCCTTCATCTAGTGTTCTGCTAATCCTATTCAGGATGACTCGAGTGAATAGTTTGTAGATGACAGACAATAGGCAGATTGGGCGATAGTTGCCAATGTCGTGGATGTCTCCTTTCTTGTATAGTAGTACAGTCTTGCTGGTTTTCCATTGGGACGGAACCTTGCATTCAGACAGGTAGCGTGTGAAGAGCCAGTAGATTAAGATATTCAGTAAATATTAATTAATGCTTAATTAATATTAATTCAGTAGAGAAAATATTCTTCATTTATATAGTAACAAATTATGATCACATTATGATCAAAACTTCCTTTCCTTACATATATATAATGGTATGCTTATGTTTCAATAAAACTTTATTTACCTAAAAAGATGGTAGACCAAATTTGATTCACGGGCCACAGTTGTTGATCCCTACGGTAACAAAATAGGACATATCTGGAGATAGAAAACCCAGGAAGTAATCTGTCTCGAGCATGAACTGCCTTAGTATAAGTTGCAAACCATATCATCTCAGTTCTTTCTAGATTTATTAGTCAAATCATGTGATCATAGGGATCTGTCTTCTAGCTTACCTTTGGCTATGGAAAGTCATATTTTTCTGGAAGACAAAAAAGCCTGAGAATAAAATCAAACCAGGGTCTTGACTTAATTTTTAATTTTTATTCCCCTACCCTACTTTTTGGTGGTGGCTTTGATGACTGAGTGTCAGACACTTCTGTTGTGGTACTTGTTCACATTTAGTTGCAGTGTGCCAAAGATTAATTAATTATTTTGGGTACTGACCATTCAGAAACCTTTCACCATTGCCAAAATTTTGTGACATCTCCCCTTTCTTCTTCTCCCCCCCCCATTTTCAGTTACATGATCCTGTATGAGATCACAAGATCTATGAACATGTTTGTGTCTTGGGGGGTAGAGACCAAGATTGAAACCACTGGGTTTTATGGCAGCTCTCTCCTTATCTTTTTGAGAAATCTCTGTACCATTTTCCATAGTGACTGAACCAGACAACATTCCCACCTACAGTAGCACTGTAGCACTGTCCTCCCATTGTTCATCAATTTGCCCGAGCGGGCACCAGTAATATCTCACAACAAATTGTAGGATTTGTTGTTACTGTTTTTGGCATATCAAATACGTCACGGGGATTTGATGCCAGGCTTTGCCATGCGGGAGGGATACATTAAGTTCCATTTTTGTCACATCCCTGCCAAAACAAGCTGTTTCTCATCTTTTTCATATATGTCATTCTCGCTGGTGTGAGGTGATACCTCAGAGACCTTTGTTTATTGCAGCACTTAGTGCAATACCTAGAATATGGAATCAACCCAGATGTCCAATGGCAGATGATGGATAATGAGAGTGAGATATCTGTGTACAATGGAATCCTATGCAGTCATAGGGAATGATGAAATTATACATTTCACTAGAACCGGAGGATATTGTATTAAGTGAAATAGGTCAGAAGGACAAATATTGAATGTTGTTACTCATATGTGATGTATAGAATAACATGACAGAGGAGTATAAGGTATCAAAAGTGGACAGACCTTTGATTGGCTCTGGATTGCAGAGGTGGAAAGGCCAGAGAAGGAGAGATGGGAAGAGGACGGGGGTGGGGAGTAGAAGTAAGAAGAGGCAATTTGGAGGTCACATAGGAGAAAATAGCAGGGCCTTGAACACGTTGGCGGTATAGAGTCATGGTGTCTCTAATTATTTAAGCCATACGATCAAATATGGCTGTAAGCACGAAACCCATACTACAGTAATTAAACTTACAAATCTATTACAGAGGTGAGGTAGAGGGATACCTGGGGACATTGGTAGAGGGACACTGACAGTGGGATTGCAGTTGGAACATGTATGCCTGAAATTTTTTTGTAAATCATGGTATCTAAATAAAAATAATTTTAAATTAAAAATTAGGGGGAAACATGAAAGAAGCAGCAGAAGTTAAGACCTAGATGATACTCCGGCATATGGGACAGGACTGTTGGCCTGTTGGCAGTTGGGGTGGGGTTGGGGGTAGGGCAAGGTTTTATCACTGAGCAATCTGTCCCCACATTTCAAGTCTTGACCTTATACTGAATATTTGATTTGGGATATTGAATTGCAAACATCCTGCTTTTCCCCTCTAGAACTTCGAGATCTAAAAGAATTTCAACTCTTAACTGTCTGTAAAAACAGACTTTTACATCAGTGTATTCCCAGTAACTTTGTGGTAGACGTTTTCATGTACATTTCTTGTGTATGTGGGAACTACGAGTTGCATAAAGGTTTTTAAAAATTATTGCATTTTTAATGCGTTTTTTGCTTTAAAAATGTTTTTAGACATTTACTCAGTAACACTCGGAAGGTATTCTCTTTAGCATCCATCAGTTTATAGTGTTAACCCCAGTTTTACAGATCAGGAAACTAAAAGTAAGAAACATAAATAACTAAGTTAAGAACACTTAGTGAGGATGTCAGAGCTAAGACTAAACACAGTAAACTATTTTGATATTCCTGCTATAAAAAAATTACCACAGACTTAGTGGTTTAAAATAACACAAATTTATTAATTTACAGTTCTGTAGGTCAGATGCCTGAAGTTAGTCTCAGTCAGCTTTTGGCAAGACTGTGTTTCTTCCACAAGCCTTACAGGAGAAAATTGTTTTGCTTGCTTTTTTCCAACTCGAGACTTCCCACATTCTTGTCTTATGATTCATTTCCATCTTCAAAATCATTCTCCTGTCATATCCCTTGCTCTTATTCTCCTATTTTCCTTCTTCACTTTCAAGGACCCTCTCTTTAAAACTAACCCAGATAATTCTTAGGACTGTCCTCAAGATTCTAATTTAATCACATCTGCAGGGATGGAGCTATCCGCACAGCGGGTAGGGCATTTGCCTTGCACGCAGCTGACCCGGGTTCAATTCCTTTGTCCCTCTCGGAGAGCCCGGCAAGCTACCGAGAGTATCCCATCCGCATGGCAGAGTCTGGCAAGCTCCTTGTGGCGTATTCGATATGCCAAAAACAGTAACAACAAGTCTCACAATGGAGATGTTACTGATGCCGGTTCGAGCAAATCGGGTTCGAGCAAATCGATGAACAACAGGAGGACAGTGCTACAGTGTTGCATTGTCATATAAAATGACATTTCTGCAAGTCTCGGGGGTTAATTTATAGACATCTTTGCTGGGCCATTATTTTACCTACCAAATTAAAAAGCAGGGGGGAAAAAACACCTTGTTTTGTGGCCACACCTGGCTGTGCTTGGGGTTTGCAGCTGGTACTGCAGTCTTCATGTTGGCTGTGTGCAAGGCAAGTGCTTTATCCCCTGTACTATCTCTCCTCCACCACCATCCCTGAAAATAAAGATCTTATTTTATCCCTGAAAATAAAGATCTTATTTTATCCTCTCATCATCTCATAGAACGTAGTATTAGGTAAGTCAGCATTAGGTAAATCTTTATCCTGAAGCAAAAGGTTTTGTGATTCTGCTAGAGTTTTATAACTTGTTAGCCTGAGGGGACTCAGAAAGTTTTCAAGTAGATCATACTTTTGTAACATTTTTATCAACATTAAGCATTTGATGTTAATATAGGTAAATTGCTTTCTTGTCTCCAGGTAATCAAACTTGAATTCAACCCAAATTAGATTTGATTCAATGCCCTTGCCATCTGTTAGCTGGTTTGATAGTTTCTGGTTAAAAAAAAAAGTCATCTTTTTCCTGAAGGATAGGGAAATGGGATAAAGATAGCATACACTTTTGGATTTTATTTGGTAGTTTGAAAATCCTTCTTTGCTAGTGTTTAGACTCAGTGGTTGAGGGTATATGGAAAATTTTGAGTTTTCTATATTGGGGCCAGAAAAATAGTACAGAGGATAGGGCACTTGCCTTACACACAGCCAGCCTAGGTTTGATTCCAGGCACCCCATATTGTCCTAGAGCCCCACCAGGAGTGATCACTGGGCACAGAGCCAGGAGTAAGACCTGAACACTGTTGGGTGTGGCCCCAAAAAACCCCCAAAATCTATATTACATGTTACAACTTTTTAATTTTATGTTAAAAACAGAAGGGTAAAAGAGTTATCTTAGATTACTCAATGGTTTGGAGTATGCTTTGCATGCTGGAATTCTAGGTTGAAGAAAAACAGTTATTTTAGAATAGGCTTTTTTTTAGATCTAATTTTTAATTTATTTTCTTGCTATATAGAAATTTTTTCAACATTGGTTTCTTAAAAATAATAAATAAAAGGCCCTCCCGTTGATCATCGATTTGCTCGAGCGGGCCCAGTAACGTCTCCATTGGAGACTTTGTTGTTACTGTGTCTGGCATATCGAATACTCTCGGTAGCTTGCCGGGCTCTCCGAGAGGGGCGGAGGAATCGAACTCGGGTCGGCCATGTTGGCTGCGTGCAAGGCAGACGCCCTACCCGCTGTGCTATGGCTCCAGCTTTCCATTATGCCAATAAGCAGTTGAATATGTCCTGTAAATTTATTTGCAAGAGCTAATACTTAACTTTTCCTTATTTTAAATTGTAGTAATAGAAGATAGCACTTCAGAAATGAATAACAAAGAATACTTTTTATCCAACCCTGTGCTTCATAGCTGCTACACAAAGTAATAATGGAGCTGATAAAGGGCATGTATTATTTAATAATTACTCATGAATTTTTAGTCATTACTTTGATTTTTATCAATAGATTAGTTCTCCACAGCTACATTTTCTATCTTAACAAAACCCGTTTTTCACCCGTTAGACATCAATTCATCATTTTTAAATTGTTTTATTTACTATCTCATACTAAACAATAGCTAGAATTTTTTAAAATCATTCTAGCTTTTTCTTGGGCAGAAGGGACATTGTGTTTTTCCTATAAACTACTTGTTCTAGAATTCATAGATGTCTAGTTCACTGTTTTCAAAAGTGAGTTGAAATAATCCAGTTATCTCTGTTGTTATATGATTTTTTTTTTTCTATTTGTTTGCTTAAAGAAGTTAGAATTCCAGGGACCACTGAGTAATTTTTTTTTTCCTAAAAAGAAGATCAAGTTAGGAAGGAAACCTCTGACTGGTTAATGTGAGTCAACTAATAGAGTTGAAAGGGAAATGGCCGTGTTAGTTAATAAGGATAAATTACCTTCACGCCAAGAAAAAGCTGCTAGCATAGTCAGTGTAGGTCCAGGGAAGCAATATTGAGAATGAAGATACTAGTTTCCCAGCACTACTGGTGGCTTTAGCTAGGAGAGTAGCCAAATACAGAGTGGACTGGGATATGCTGAAATTAGAAACTGGAAAAGTATTTCAGCAAAGAGCTTGCAGTGATTGTCAAGGAACATAGAGACAGCATGATTTAATGGAATTCAGTGGCACTTTGAAGTTAGTCAGGACTGGGTTCTTATCTTGCTACTTTAAAACTATATGGTGTTGGGCTAGAATCTTAATCCCTTCAAATCCCTACTTCCTCATTTGTTAGAATAATAGTTACCCCTTAGAATTACTCTGTGACTTAGAGGTATGACATCCATGATAGTAGTCAGAGTCCTTGCATGGTCACCCAGTAGATAGAAGCTTTAAGGATAACAAAAAGCTTCTAGGTGGTTGGCAGAGTTTGCTTAATGGATTTTCTTACCAGCTGTACTTAAAAAGTCTAGGGGGAACAACTTAGTGCTGTGTCTTTGATTTCAAAGTAGCAGACATCTATGTCAGCCTAACTCGGTCCCAGGTATGTCACATTTTAAGGGTTCTTTGTTCTTTTTATTTTTTAGAGATCATGGGTTTTTTTTTTTCAAATATCTTTGGCAAATATTTTCTCCCAACATGTGGCTTGTCTTCTAATTTTCTTGACATTATTTTTGAGCGTGGGTGAGGCGCAGTCAGTGGTTCTCAGAAGCCACACCCAGCTCTGTGCTCACCGGCCACTCCTGGTGGTATGATAAGGGGCCACACCTAGTGCTACTCGGGACTAGATGCAGTGACAGGATTTGAGTCATCATTGGAGCTACAGCCACATGAACGAATGGCAAGTGCCGCAACCTTTGTTTTTTTCTCTTCACCCAAATTACATTTTACAGAGCATAAGTTTTTTT